GGGGGGGTTGTGGGGGGGAGGGGTGTGGGTTGTGGGGGGGGTGTGGGTTGGGGGGGGGAGGGTGGTTTCCACCCGCTGGACTTCTCCTGGGACCTGTGGGTGGGGCGGTGCTGGGAGCCCACACGCACTCCTGGGCCCTTTCTGAGGACCCTCGGCCGAAAGGGCAGAGACCAAGAGTGAGCTGGTCCCACACCCTCTTCCCGTTCCCGGTCGTGGGCAGCGGGAGGAGCCGGCAGAGGGGGGCCGGACCGGCTCTGGGGTGGCCTCTACCTGGGGGGCAGGCTCTGGGGTCACAGCCCTCCCCCTGCCTGCTCACTCCTCTGGGCCCCGGTGGCCGGGACCAGGTGCCAGGAAGCCCGGAGCCCAGCCGCCTGCAGAGCCAAGGGCCGGCCTCCTGGGCTCAGGGGGCATCTGTGTGTCAGGGGCTGGGCGGCTGGGGCAGGCGTGAGGCCTGGGACCCGGACCCAGAGGCCAGGCCTGGGTGGAGGCGCTCGGGGCACCGGTGAGAGCGGCTTCTCAGAGAAGCGGGGCCATTGGGCCGAGGCGCCAGGTGCTGGTCCCGCAGGGGATGAGGGATGCGAACTCGAACCTCAGGACACCCAGGCCCGAGACGAGGCCGAGGCAGGTGGGGCCGCCGCGCTCCGGGCAGGGCTGTCTGGCGGGGCCCCTCCCGTTAGCAGGGACTGGGTGCCGGCTCCTCAGTGTGCGCCGCCCGACCCGGGGCCTGGAGCGGGTCCGGGTTTCGTTTCTCCTAGAACACGGTGCCCGAGACGCGGCTGCTGGTTCTGAGGGGCTCCGAGCAGCCGGCCAGCTGGGTGGGGTGCGGAGTCAGCGGGGGAACCGCCGGGCTAAGGCGCCTCCAGCACGTCCTCACGCGCGGGTTTCAGCCCCACCCGGGGGTCAGCGTGTCGCGTGGTTTTCCTGCAGGTGGACGTCGCACACGCGCTGTCGATGGGGACAGAGCTGTGTCTGCGCGTGGGCAGGGCCTGGCGCTGGTTCTGAAGGCGCGGTGCTCTCAGAATGGCTCCCCTGCGTCGGTTGAAGGACCATCCTTGGCAGAATTCCACCTTCTGCTTTCAAACACGGGACTTGCAGGCGGCTCAGGCCCCTGCTCTTCGGGGCGGGACCCAGGCCTGGGCTGGCCCGGAGCTCAGCTCTCCCTCCTGCCCTGGGGAACCGGTGCTGCTGTGACCTGGGCACCCAGGGAGGAGGGGCAGGGGGTGCAAGGTGGGCCAGGCCCCTGCGGGGGCCCCTCCTGCCCCTCCCTGCGCCACCCCCGCTCCCACAGCCCGGCCTCCACCAGCCCCCACCGGCCTGTGCTGCTGCGGGAGGCCTGGCAGGGGCTGGTGAGAGCCGGCCAGCTGCACGGGAGGCCGCTCGGAGCCGGGCAGGCCCCGGAGCCAGTGCTCTGGGAAGCAGCGCGGCCTCGCGCCCGGGACCCGCCCCAGGAGGACAGGCTCTCACTCCCGGCGGCTCTCACCTCCTCTGGGCGCCCTCGCGGGGCCCTGGTGATGGTGGCCTCAGCCAGCGGCCCCTCGTGGAACCGGCTGCGCCCCCTCCCCAGGAGGCCCGGGGCGACCCTCCGGCCAGCCTGCGCCCTCGTCCCACGGCCTGTCCGTCCGCCCCCTGGAGGTCCTCCCGGGTCACTGTTAAGCCGGGTCGCCAGTAACCGGACACACCAGTCCCTGGTAAGAGAGGCTCCCACTGGCCCTGAGGCTCTCCTCTCTTCCTCCCCAGGCCTGGGTTGATCCGCTCTGCCATCTGCCCCCCAGCCAAGGGGCCCTCCCGCCGGACGCACCGTCCAGTTAGACCTCGGCTTCCTGGGACGTGCTGCCCTCGTCCTGTCTCTCCTGGGATGAGATGCTGGGCCAGGCGGCCGCTCGCTGGTGTCCATCGCCAGCCGGGACATGCGCCAGACCGCACCTGGCGCCTCAGGCCGCTGGTCCCCGCGATCGGCTCTGCTGTCGTTTGAACTAGTGACCAGTCACGAATGGTGGTGTGTGTGTAGTTTTTTTAAAAAACTTTAACTGACAGTGTTGGTCTGAAGTTCATCCATCCTTTAAATCGTTCTGTCCCCCTGTCCCCTGTCCCCCTGTCCCCCTGTCCCGCTGTCCCCCTGTCCCGCTGTCCCCGTCCTGCTGTCCCAGCTGAGACCCCGTCTCAGCCTCACTCGAGGAGCTGGCCGGGGCTGCAGAGCTGTGACCCCGTCATTCACCCGCGAGCCAGGCACCTGACCTCCCTCACAGCCCCCGGGCCCCTCCCAGGTCAGAGGTCAGCCAGCCGGTGGGGACCGGGTCTGCACCCACAGCCCAGTGCAGCCTCGCAGACGGGACGTGCCCCCAGCGTGTGGCCCCCACACCTGGCTCAGCCTTTCGCCAAAACCCATTTTACTTCGTGAAGCGTGTCTGTTCTCAGCGGCGGGTCCCCACGAGTCCGGGTGCTGGGACGGCGTGGGGTCACAGTGTGGGCACACGGTCAGTGGGTCCAGCGAGGGCCTGGTGGTCAGTGGGCCCAGCGAGGGCCTGGTGGTCAGTGGGCCCAGCGAGGGCCTGGTGGTCAGTGGGCCCAGCGAGGGCATGGTGGTCAGTGGGTCCAGCGAGGGCCTGGTGGTCAGTGGGTCCAGCGAGGGCCTGGTGGTCAGTGGGGACTGAGAGGACGTGTGGCAGCATTAAACTTCTTACTAAAGGAACTGAAGGAGGTTGGTGCTCCTGTCGCTGAGGTGTGGGAGGGGAGTGGGGAGCTCAGGGCCTGTCTGTCTGTCCATCAGGTCAGTCCTCTCCACACAGCTGCTGCTGCTGCCTGAACCCGCCCCTGGGCCTGTTGACAGCTCACTGCTTCCTTCGACCCGAAATTAGCAGGTGGTGGCCAGGCTGTGTCTGTGGACTCAGGAGGAGGAGGAGGCAGAGGAGGAGAGAATGCAAAGAATCTGGGCTGGGCTGAGCTGAAGGGGGAGGAGCCAGGGCAGCGGGAGGGGGCCCCCTGTAATTAACTGGTCACTCCTTCCCCTCCCTCCTGCCGTCCAGCACCTGGAAGGACAGACAGGGAGTGACGCAGGGTCCTCTGCTGCCCCAGCTACCGGAGCTGTGATCGTGGGGGGAGGGGGGCTCAGGCAGCAGCTCCCCATGTTCCCCCTGGAGCGGGGCCCCAGCAGGGTGCACCCCACTCCCCCCACTGTGAGCAGCTCCTGCCTTCAGCAAGGCCCCGCCCTGCAGCAGGGGAGCCCAGCTCACACCCAGCTCAAGCTCCCTCCGCCCACACCTTTGTGCTTCTGGCCCACGCAGCCCCCAGGTCTGGGTTCCCCACGTCTGGGGCCACATTTCACACCCTGTAGGGAGGGCACAGGCGCCGGGGTGGAGGCTGAGGAGGCTGGGCAGGTGAGGGTTGCGCACCTCTACCCTGCGAGGCCGGGTCAGGGGCGGGGCTGGTGGTGGGAGCTGGCCGCCCCCGGCCCCGCAGGGGCTCCAGGTCACCGAGCCCGGAACTGGGCAGCTCGATCCCCAACTCAGGCGCTGTTTCTGCAACGGGCGTGGGGGAGGGCGAAAGGGTGGACGCGTGTTAGCAGCTGGGCAGGAGGGGCCGCAGTGACAGGCAGCCCAGGGCGCTGTCCTGAGGCTCCGCCACCTGCACACACAGGCACACGCACGCATGCCCACGCACATTCATGTGCACGCACACAGCACGCACGCGTGCTCACACGCACCTGCTGGGAGGGCCACTGCTCTGTCTGCCGCATTTCCCACCGTCCACTGAAGGGCTGCCTGAGTGTTTCTGCTGTTTTATAATTTGCCACGTATGTTAACAGCTCACTGAGGTCTGAGCTACCTGCTCTGGCACATTTACGTCAACGACAGGACGCGTTTTAGTAGATGTCCGACGGGACGTCCCCGCGTCCGCGCACGGGCCCTTGTACCTGCCGTGGGGCCCTCCAGCCGGGCAGCTGGGCCGACCCCACCCCCCCGATCCCGGGGTCGCCTTTCTGGGCGGCTCCCGGCTCCTGCAAAAGGCGGAGCGGCAGCTCCTCCCTGGCCCCGTGATGGTTTTGAGATTCGTGCACGTCAGTACTTTGCGCCTCTTTATTGCTGGATGGTTGTCCCACGTCGTCCTGGGGACCTGGACTCTGGCCGCTGGGGCTGGGGGCCAGGCATCCAGGAGGAAAACTGGGCAGAGATGAAACCTCAGGTGACCATGCGTGAGGCCAGGACCGGGTGAGGACCCGCCTCCCCAGCTCCTCCCAGACCTGAAACAGCACGTGCAGCCAGGCTGCCCCAGGCGTCCACACGTCTGCTTCCCCCACGGAGGGAAGCTCCTGCCTCCTCCACCAGCCGGGACAGCGGTGCCGGGGGGCAGGTGTGCGGGCCGAGGGCCCTGGGCCTCCAGGACGTGAGCTCCCCCTGACCCAGGGGCCCTCCCTGGCCAGGACTCACCTGCCGGCAGGAAGTGAGCATCAGTCCCTGCTCTCGGTCCCCGGGGGCCGCCCACTCTGTGTCCCCTCCCCCCATGTCCCGTGTGTCTGCGTGGGCATGGGCGTGGCCGTGGCACCTGCTCCCTCACCCCTGCCGTGTGCAGGCGCCTGAGGAAGGAGTGGCCACTGCCTCTTTTATGACGGGAGCGCTGGTGACCTTCAGTCCGTGGCCACAGGCCCCCACGCCGGTGGTTTCAGGGGACACGTGAGCTGGGACACATGAGGGCCAGGCCGTCCGCTGGTGGTTTTGCCTTTTTCAGAGTCGTTAGGCTGCCGGCTCACAGGACCACGTCAGAGGAATCGCTTTGCATTCAGCTGAGGGAAGAGGACAGGGCTGGGCCTCCCAGGTCCCAAGTCTGCAGGGCAGCCCGGGGGAGCCCTGAGTCTGAGCGGAGCTGGGGCAGGAGCTGGAGCAGGAGGAGGGGCAGGGGCGAGGAGAGCTGTGCACACCCTCTAACCACAGAGCCAGACCCCGGGCAGCAGGAGGCCTGTACCTGCTGCGGGCTCTCCCACAGGGTGGGCAGGAAGTGACCCGGGAAGTGACCAGGGGCCCTAAGAGCAGGGCTGTCAGTTTGGCCTGCAGGGGGACAGTGTTTCGGGGCGGGGTGGCCACAGCGCTGGCTCACTTCGCTGGGTGACCATGCGCAGGAGGCTGGGAGGGGTGGGTCCTACTGCCCCTCCAGCCCCTCCAGGTACCTCGCAGTGGCCCTGGTCCCGGCATCTGCGTGGCCCTCTCCTGTCCCGAGAGGAGGCGTGGTCAGGAGTCGGGGACGGGGTGCGGGGGGAGGCCCAGCAAGTGTTTATTTGCATTCCAATCGTGCTGCTCACAGCCCAGCATTTACAGCCCGGACCTTGTCCCGCCGGGGTGGCCGGACCCTGGCCCTGCCCTCGTCCTCCCCCAGCCAGGAGCTCCCCACAGCACCCTGTCTTGGGAAGCCGGCAGCTGGGTGAGTTTGGGGTCCGTGCGCCCCAGCTGTGGCCGGACAGAGGGGGAGGGCCCGTCATGTGGTGGCTCACCCTGCCGCCATGACCGCTGTCTCCTGCAGGAGCAGCCCTGGCCGGAGAGATGGCCGTGGAGGGCAGGGACGTGCTGGTGCTGCTGCCCACGCGGGAGCGGCTGCGGCTGGTCGTGGGGGTGAGCGCTGGGGAGGGGCTGGCTGGGGGGCCGAGGGGTGAGCGCTGGGGAGGGGCTGGCTGGGGGGCCGAGGGGTGAGCGCTGGGGAGGGGCTGGCTGGGGGGCCGAGGGGTGAGCAGGGGCCGTGGGGGGCCGGGTGCTCATTGCCCTCCCCCCCCCCCCCCGACTGGATCCTGTCACATTGTTGTTGGTCCTCACCTGAGGGTGGTTTTTCCATTGACTTTTAGAAAGAGAGGGAGGGAGAGAGGGAGAGAGGAAGGGAGGGAGGGAGGGAGAGATGGAGGGAGGGAGGGAGGGAGGTTGGGAGGACGAGAGAGACATGGATGCGCTTCCACACGTGATCCAACCTGCATGCCCTTGGCCAGGACTCGAACCGGCTCAGCCCTGCTCTCAGGAGGGGCCTGCGATGGGCGGGGTGTCAGGGCCCAGCAGGGGCTCCCGGGGGGCACCACAGTCCGCACCTGCCAGCCCGGGGTGGAGCGATCGCCCCTGATGAAGGCGGGGGCCTCCCCCCCAGGTTCTCACAGGCTGCCCTGGGGCGGGGGGCCTGGTCTTCAGTCACCAGGACCTGAGCGCTGGCTGCGGTCATGGGAACAGCCTGGCCAGCCCCCTGCCTGCCAGCCCCCTCCCCTCCTGCCCTGAGCCGCCGCCTCTTGCAGGTGCAGGCCACGGGGCGGGAGCTGTTCAGGCAGGTGTGTGACGAGGCCGGCATCAGGGAGCCCCACTTCTTCGGCCTCTGCGTGGTCAGAAGTGAGTCAGCTCTGCCCTCGGCCCCTGACCTCCGACCCCACCGGGGCCGAGTCTGAGGGATCGTTCCTGCTCTCCCGGCCCCGGGAGCCCCGTCTGCTCCCAACTCCCGCTTCCCGGCCCCTGGCTGCTCGGTACCCGGCACCACCTCAGCCCTGGGCTGGCCTGGCGGGACCCGGGGTCCCTGCAGGAGCCGGGCCCCCTGTGCACGTGTCGCCTCCCACCAGGACGCGGCCCCTGCCCAGGTCGGAGCCGAGGCAGCATCCTGCCCGGAGGGCTCCCCCTCGGCGTCGGGCTCTGAGTGATTTCAGACGTGGCTCCGGGGCCTGAGCGGCCGGTGTCGCGGCAGCAGCTCCTCCTCTCCGCTTCCCCTTTCAGACGACGAGTACCTGTTCATGGACCTGGAGCAGAAGCTCGGCAAGTACTTCTCCAAGGACTGGAGCCGGGAGCGGCCGGAGGTGCGAGGGCCGGGGGGGTCCCGCTCTGCCCCGGCCGCCCTGTGCCTGGGCCGCCCCAGGTGGCGCCCGCTGCCCCTCGTCCCAGTGCGTCCCGAGGGCAGACGGCGGGCGGGCGGCCCGGCTGCTAAGACCTGAGCTGAGCGCGTGGCAGGCGACTCCTGGCGCCGTCCACTCTCACCGTCCGCGTGGCCCCTCTGCTCGCCCCCACAGGGCAGGAGGTCCAGGGCCCCCTTTGTGGCCTTCCTCCGGGTGCAGTTCTACGTGGAAGACGGGCGGCTGATCAGGTACGTGCAGGCCGCAGGGGTCCCCAGAGCGGGGAGGCCCCGCGGGCCAGGCTGTCCTGTCGAAACCATGGGGCTGCGACCGTGGGGGCACAGCCATCCTTTGTGACGGGGCCCGTGAGGCCGCGTGAGAAGCGTGGGGCTGTCAGGCGGGTGGGTTTGTTCTCTGGGCGGGGACGCGGGCAGGCACGGTGGGTCTGAGGTTTCTGCGTCCGGGGCAGCGGAGCCGCCCTCACCCACCCGCCCCCCTCCCAGCACCCGGACGGGCCGGCACCTGTACTACTGCCACCTGCGGGAGCGGGTGCTGCGGTCCCAGGGCACCCACTGCGAGGAGGCCTACTTCCTGCTGGCGGCCTACGCGCTGCAGGCCGACCTGGGCAACCACCGGGCCCGCGCCCACGTGGGGCGCTACTTCGAGCCCCAGGCCTACTTCCCGCAGTGGGTGAGGTGTGGCGTGGGGGTGGGGATTGCCGGGCGGGGGGCGGCCGTGGGGGGACGGCGGGTGGTGGGGTGGCCGTGGGGGGGCGCGGTGGGGCGTGGGGGTGGGGATTGCCGGGCTGGGGGCGGCCGTGGGGGGGCAGGAGGGCCTCACGGCCTCTGCTCTGTGGCCAGATCATCGCCAGGAGGGGCAGCGCCTACCTCCTCAGGCACGTGCCCTCCCTGCACCGCGAGCAGCGGGGCCTGAGCCCCAGGGCGGCCGAGCTGCGCTACATCCGGGAGGCCTGCCGGCTGGAGGACGTGCCCGTCCACTTCTTCAGGCTGTTCAAGGTCCCGCCGGCGCCGCGGGGAGAGGGGGCTCAGGCCCGTGGCTGCCCCGGGTGGGGGGGGCAGATGCGTGGCCACGGGGTGGGTGACACTGGCCCCGGGACCGGGACCCTCAGTGTGCGGGTGGCCCTCGTGGTGGAGCTGCTCCTGGCGGCGTGGCCTGGCCCCGGGAGCAGTCGCTGCAGGGAAGGTCCGTGTCCACGTCTGGGAACCAGCCAGGGAAGTGCTCTCCCACAACGAGGCCGCCCCACACTGAGCCGGGACAAGGGGCTGCGGGGGAGACGTCCACCGTTCTCCTGCCGTGTCCCTGCAGCGCGTGTCCCAGGCACTGTGTGTCCGGGCAGCTTGGCGCTGCTCTCTGGGGCGTGAGGACGAGGCCCATCAGCGGGGAGAGAAAGTCAGAGAGAGGAGGCGGGAATGGGGTCCGGATCTTGCCTCCAGGGAGGGAAACGGAGGGGCTGGGGGACCCTGCTTGTCTCTGGGGAGCCCCCTGACTTCCCATAAGGGGTCTGACCTCTGACATGGGTGTCCTTTTAGGATAAGAAGGAAGAAAGACCTACCGTTGTCCTGGGACTGACCCTCAAAGGAATGCAGGTCTATGAGGTGAGGGGTGGAGCCCCCAGAGACACCCCCCCCCAGGGCTGGTGCCCCGTCGCCGGCTGACCCGGCCCCTGTGCCCTGCAGGAGGTGAATCACACTCCGCAGCTGCTCCAGGACCTGCCCTGGCCCCGCATCGGGAAGCTGGCCATTCTGGTGCGAGTCTGCCGGGTCTGGTTGAGGGGGGACGGGTCTCAGCCCCCAGGGCCCAGGGGAGCCTGGCTGACACTTGTCCAGTGTCAGCCATTTACCGGGCACTCCGTCCTCCACCGTCCCGGCGCCGTGCCCAGGCTGGCGCTGTGCAGCGGGCGTGAGACCACCCCACCCTGGACGGCTGTCCAGCTGGCCCCCGACAGCTCTGGCTCCCAAGGGGGCGAAATAAAGAGAACGAGGAGGAGGCAGAGACGCATGGCCGGCCAGCCAGCTTCCAGACACCCCACCCACGTCCCAGCCCCTCAGACCCCGGGGCCAGCACTCGGGGTGAAGGGCAGGTGGGCTCTGAGGCCTGGGGTCCGTCCAGGGACGTGCACACCCCCCCAGCCCCAGGGGAGTGTCTGGACTTTTCATAACCTCGAGCAGGCACCCCGCTTGCCTGTGCCTCTAAACGCACACGTGCCTGTGGGATTAGATGTGCCAACAGGAACCATGGCCGCCGCCCAGGGTGGGTCTGGCCGCCGGCTCACACGCTGCCCCTGTGGTCCTGGTCCTTGTCGATCCACCTTCTCCTCCTCCAGGGGAAGAAGTTCAAAATCCAGCCGGACGGGCGGCCCGCGGCCCGCAAGCTGGAGTTCTACACGGGCTGCGCTGTCCGCTCCCGCCACCTGCTGCGCCTGCTCCGCGCCAGCCACCAGCTGCACCTGGCCCTGCGGCCCGCGCTGGCGCAGCTGCGGCTGGAGGAGCCGCGAGGTGGGTGCCGCCCTCCGCCCCCTGCACCCCCCACCTCCACCCCGGCCCTGTCATCTCCGGGCCTGGGGCGTGGGCGTGGCCTCCTGGCAGGCGTCCCCCCAGGAGGATCTGGTCACCGGGTGGTGATCCCCTCCTCCCGCCCCCGGTGGGGAGCCCAGTGCAAGGGGGGGCCGAGGGGTGCGAGTGCGTGAGCGCGTGCCTGTGTGTGTGCATGTGTGTGCACTCCTGCTCGCGTGTGTGGCTGCTCAGCGGTCCCTCACAGACATGATGTGAGCTCCCGGCCCTGTGTGGGTTCACCAGTTGTGACACATCCGACCGGTGGCCCGGCTGTCACCGTGGACAGGCAGAGACCCGGTCTCCGGCAATCCTTCCCCCCACGCACTGCGTCTCCCGGGGCCTCCATCAGCCGAGGCGGCACCTCCATTCCCAGCGCTCACATCGGCTTCCCTGCCGCCCCTCCCTGCAGAGAAGTGTTACCGGGAGACGTACATCAGTGACACGCCGGAGCTGGGCCTGTGCCCCACGGGCCACCGGGACAGCGGGGACAGCAGGGGCAGTGGCCATCGGCTCCCCTGCCACCTCTCACTGCTCTCGGCCGACAGCCACGGCAGCTCCCACGCGTCTGGCGTGGAGCCTGGGGAGATGTCAGTGGACGAGCCCTCCGGGGCCACAGCCCTCCCCAGGGAGAGGGCGTCCTGCAGCTCCAGCCTCAGCCCCAGCAGCGGAGACACAGCGGGTGGCAGTGGAGGCCGGCCCGGGCCCGAGGGGGACACGCAGGACCCGGGGCACCGGGGGAGCGGTGAGTGAGCGCTCAGCCAGCCGAGCAGGGTCACTGCGCAGAGGCAGGACCGCGGGGCCGGGGCTGGGACAGGAGGGGCCTGCGGCGGTGGCGGGCGGCAGTGGTGGTGGCAGGCGGCAGGAGGTGGTGGCGGGCGGCGGGCGGCGGTGGCGGGTGGCGGGCGGCAGTGGCGGGCGGCGGTGGCGGGCGGCGGGCGGCGGTGGCGGGCGGCGGGTGGCGGGCGGCGGTGGTGGTGGCGGGCGGCGGTGGCGGGCGGCTGCGGGTGGCGGGCGGCGGTGGCGGGCGGCGGTGGTGGTGGCGGGCGGCAGTGGCGGGCGGCGGGCGGCGCTGGTGGTGGCGGGCGGCAGTGGCGGGCGGCGGGCGGCGGTGGCGGGCGGTGGCGGTCCTCCGTCCTCTGTGCCGCTGGCCGCAGAGGCCTCAGCGCGCAGGACCCCGCGGGCCACACCCTCCTTTTGGTGGGCGGCGCGCGCACAGGTTCCTCCCCTCGCACCTGCACTGGCTTCAGTCACAGTCCCCACAGCAGTGACCAGTCACCACGGCGGGGCCTCGCCAGCGGCTCCCTGGGCTCAGGGCGCTTCCGCCGTGGGTCCTGGGGTGTGTGCCCTAAAGTGGCGACTGCGGGGACCAACCTCAGGGCCTGCCCACCAAGGGCCACCTGGGGTCACCCAGTCACCCAGGCCCACCCAGGGTCACTCAGCACCACCAGGGCTGCCGGGGGCCAGGCAGGTCCACCAGGCCCCCCGGGCACCCGGGGTAGGAGGGTTTGGGGCAGCCGTCCACAGGGGCCAGAGCTGTCCGCCTGCTCACACCCCTCCCTCTCTTGCAGCCTCTGGCCCCCAGGCGGTGGTGCGGGTCACACTGATCAGCATGCGGGGCTGGAGCACCGAGGCCCTACACCAGGTACGCCCCGACCCCCGTGGCCCAGTCCACCCATGGGCCCAGCGTCTCCCTAGGCCCATAGGAGGGTCCTGGGCAGAGACCCCAGAGCCAGAGCCGGGGGGGGGGGGGGGGGCGGGTTCCCTTGGCCTCAGCGCCAGAGTGAGCACTGGGCCTGCAGCGCGGGGTCCTCTCTGGCCGTGTGCTCAGTGCGGCCCTGTCCACCTGCACCACCACCGTCCCCGACTGTGGGTGCCCACGGGTGCGGGGGCAACTCCACCTGCAGGAGCAGGAGGCCAGGCCAGGGGTTCCGGGTGCCCAGGCGGGGGGGCGGGGACAGGGGGGTCCAGGCCTGGCTGGGAGCTGGCCTGGGGGAGATGCCCTGGGAGGAGGAAGGATGTGGAGGGAGAGAGAAGCTGGCCAGAGACCGGGGTGGGGTCTGCCCGCGTGGCTGGGGCCCCGTCCCGGGTCTCTGAGGTCAGGCCTCCCTGACTGAGCAGGTGGCCCCGTCCGGCCCGTGGCTGAGAGCAGCTCAGCAGGACCCCAGCCTGGACGGGACCAGGGCGGCTCAGAGCCGGGCCCCTGTGGCTCCTCCCGTGGGGGGGCTGCTCCTGACCCCCAAGATGCTCCCAGACTGAGCTCATTCCTAAACTCCCCGAACCTCGAGCAGAGACCCTGGTCCGATTGGTTAAAACAGAAACGAGAAAACCAGCCCCGGCCCAGCCCCTCGGATCGGGGTGGGTCGGCCTTGGTGGGGGGCCGGGCTCCCCACCGAGACCCCAGCTCCCCCTGGCGCGACTCCATCCCGCGAGGGTCCCCCGAGACGGACAGGAGTGGGCGGGCCCCTGTCACTCACCCGCTGCCCGGGGACAGTGGGGGTGCAGGGCTCGGTGGGGGTCTGGGGGCGGGGGGCCACGGGGGGCGGCAGGGGCTGTCGGGGCTCAGCATTAGGGGGGCGGGGCAGATGGGGGAGCGGCCTCGCACGGGCTGCGACGGAGCAGGACTCCCCTCGGTCTCCCCGCAGGTCCCGGGGGCGGCCCCCCGCCACGCCCACGCGGACCCGCTCACCCGCAGCCTGGAGGACGTGCGCCCGCGCCCCGCCCCGCGCGCAGCCCGGAGGCCCGTGCCCGCCCCGCGCAGCTGCCCCCGCGGCGTCGCCCCGGACCCGGACCCGGACCCGGACCCGGACCCGGGGCCCGCGGCCCGCCTCTGCCTGGACCTCAGCGGGGACCCGCGCCTGGAGGAGGTCGCCGTGTAGCCCGCGAGGCTCGGTCCGCCCGCGGCGCGGGGCAGGGGCTGCTCTCAGGGAGGCCGGCCGCCAGCCTGACCCCCTCCTGTGCCCGCGGGGCCACGAGGCCTCGGCGCCTCCCGTCGCGGTCGCGGTCGCGGTCGCGTGTGACTCGGACTCGGACTCGGCGCCGGCGAAGAGCAGGCCCCGCTCGGGACTCGGGGCGAGTGGAGCTGGGCTGTCCCTCCGCACGGACCCGCGTGGGCTCCGCCGGGCTCCCGGCCCCTCCGTGCGGCCCCTCCGCGGGCCTGGCCCGCTCTGTCCCCGGACCCCGGCGCCTGCCCCGTGCACGGCGGTTCCGGAACGCGCCTGGCTCCCCTGTGGCTCCCGGGCCCCCCCCGCCCCAGCCCAGCACCTGCGCCCGCACCCCGGCCGCCTGTCCGAGCGGACCTGTCCGCGCCTGAGTGCGTTGGGGTCGCTGGGAGCCGCTCCCGCACAGCTGGTCCCGGACGCCGTCAGGCCCCCCGCGCTCTGCTGTGCGCCTGCAGCCCGGGCAGCCTGCACGGGGCCTCCGCCTGCCGCCCCCCCCCCGCCACCAGAGGGCGCTGGCGGCACGCGCTGGGCCTGGGCATGGGGGGCTGGACTCGGGGTGGCGGGGCGCCTGGCAGCTCAGGGCTGTGGTCTCTGACCCGCCTCTGTGGGTGCAGACCGAGCTCCCCCTCATTCCTCACCCACCCCCTGGTTGAAGGTGCCAGCGCCAAGGGCCACGGGAGCGGGGACCAGCGCGTGTCCCCCGCGGACTGAGGAGCAGGGCAGGGCGGGCCCGAGGGCCCCATTTCTGTCCTTCCTCCGGCCTGTGGGCGGACATGGACATGGTGTCCCCTAACCGCCCGGGAACCTCTGGTTGTCAGGGAGAGAGGGGCCGGGCCTGTCCCTAACCCTCCCAGGGTGGCCGCCCTGCCCGTCCCGCCCCCCGCCCCCTCCCGAGTGCCAGCCCAGCTCCCAGGGAGGAGGGGGTGGAGGGGCAGAGGGGGGCGGCCCACCCCTCGGGAGGGCGGAGGCTCCTTGGAAAAGCCAGAAAGAGAACCTCGCCCGGCCGGGTGGCTCAGTGGGTGAGCGTCGACCTATGAACCAGGAGGTCACGGTTCCATCGGTCGGGGCACATGCAGGGCTGCGGGCTCGGTCCCCCGTGCGGGGCGTGAGGAGGCAGCCGATCCGTGACTCTCTCATCACTGATGTTTCTGTCTCCCTCTCCCTTCCTCTCTCTGAAGCCAATAAGAACATATTTTTAAAAAAATAAATAAAAGAAAGAGCATCTTTTCCTTTTGTGTCCAGAGGTCTCGTAGGCAAAATGTATCTCAGGAAACTGGGTCTGAACTGCGGGGAACGGGTGGTGTGTGAGGGGCAGGTCCGGCTGGCTCCCGGCCCCCGAGGAGTGGTGAGCGCTGGGGGACGAGGCGTGGCCCCCGGCTGTGGGTGCACCTGGCAGCCCACGCTCCCTCACACGTGTCCGTGCGGCTGGAAGGAAGGCCACCAGGTCCCTCTGGACGCCCAAGAAGCAGGTGGTGGCTCAGGAAAATATAGGCAGAAATGACCCCCCCCATCCCCCCCCCCAGCCTGGCTGGCCAGGTTTGGACAGAGGTCAGAGGTCAAGCTCGTGGATCTAGACTTAAGGACCCCCGAGGGCTCATTCAGCGCCCACTCCTGGGCCAGCCGCAGGGCTTGCTGGGGCCGGGGCCTGGGCTCCGGGTGCTGCCGTGGCTGCTGCCCTGCTGGCGTGGGACTTAACAGGGAGCCGGGGCAGTTTGGTTTGGCAGGAGCTGCCAGGGCAACCTGGTGGGGGGGAGGTCCCCAGGATGTTCCCAGTGTCAGCCACGGGCCCAGGCCCAGAGTGCACCTGGGACCAGGCAGCTTGTGTGTGAACTTGCATCCCACGCCCGTGGCCTGGGTCCCCGGCCTGATCAGCTCTTAGAGGCAGACTCTGGGGACAGGACACTCTTCTCCAGAAAAGCACTCGCCGTGCCTGCCACCGCCCACCCTGGGGTGAGGTTTGAGAGCTGCTGATGGAGGATGGGCCTCATCCAGAACCGGGGGGTAGACAGGCCCCCGCCCAGCAGCCAGGTGTCCCCACAGGGGCTGAGGACTTGGAGGAGGCAGCTCCTCGCCCCCCAGACGGGGCAGTGACCCCGGAGGCCGCCAGACCCTTGCCTGCTGGGACCGCGCTGTGCAGAGGACGCGGAGCCGGGGGCGTGGAGTTTGTTGGGGACACAGAGCCACCCCTGGGCCCAGGTCGGGTTCCGGACCCTGAGCGCAAACCCGGGAGCTTGGCCCAGTCGGTGCGAGGAGCCGGCCTTGGGGCTCCGTGTGCCCCGCCCCACACCCTGCCTGACAGCATCGCTCTGCTCCGAGCTGCCCCCAGGACCCGCCTCCCGGGGCTCCTGCTGCCGTGGCTGCGTGGCCTGGCTGGCGTGTGGGCTCCGTGTTCGTGGCCGTCACCGTGGAGAAAACCAGGGCCGTCACGTCCCATGTAAAGAAAGAGTTCATTTCAGGCGTGAACATCACATGTGCCGTCGTGGCAGGAAACAGGTGGGAGGGACGCAGCCCACAAGCACCCACGCTCCTCACGGGGATCCCTGGGGGCCGGGCGGCCCCGCCCCCCCTGCCGTGCGCGGACCCCGAAGCCCAGGCTCTGCAGCGTCTCGGCCACGTGCTCCTGGCCGGGGGACACGCAGACAATCACCAGCAGCTTGGCGTCGCCTCCTTTAAAGAGAGAAGTGACCAAGGCCCTGAGGGAAGGAAGGCCCTGGCGGGGAGGCGGCCTGTGGGCGCGGCCACAGGGGGCCCAGGGGCCCAGGAGCCACAGCGTCTTCCCTCCAGGCCCTGGGACTGAGACCTGACACCAGGCCGAGGGCCCCCGGCGAGGGCGGGGCCGTGTGAGGGCCCCCTCTGCTTCCCCGGGGGGGGGGGGCGGGCAGGGGGGGGGCGACACCAGGCTCCCAGTGGGACTGGTGCCACCTTTGCCTTAAGGACAGTGGGGGGGGTGAGCAGTGTGGGGCGGGGTGGGGGTTGCAGGGAAGGAGGAGCTGAGGGACCAGGAGGGACGTGCCCCCGTGTGAGCGAGGCCGGCTCCCCATGTTCCCACTGCTGATGGGGGCACTGGCCCTGGGGGGGAGATCAGAGCCCCGGGGGTCTCTCAGGCACAGAGCCATAAAGTGTAACCCCGGGCCCTGCTCCCCGCAGACCAGGATGAGCTGCGGCTCAGAACAGGGCCCCCTCCCCCATGTTTGGGTCCTGTCCCCCCGCCCTGCAGTCCCGGGAGGAGCCGGCCGCGTGCGCACCCACAGGCCCGCCGGCAGGACAGCAGAGTGCGGAGTGGGTGGGCACACAGTGCTGGGGACATCGAGGAGGGACGCGGACCTGAGAGCCAGGGGCCTCGGAGTCTCGGGGACACGAGTTACCCAGGGCGTCCTGCAGCAGGTGGGTGAGCTTGCTGTTGCGGTAGGGGACGTGGGCTCGGCGTGCCGCCAGGGCCCCCAGGACGTCCGCCAGGGCCGCCAGGCTCCGGTTGATGAAGGATGCCTCCCTCAGGGCTGGTCCCCTCGCTCCAGACGCGCCTGGGACCATCAGACATGGAGGCGGAGGCGTGAACCAGGACAGCAAATGGGGGCTCCGGGCAGGAGGCACTGGGAGTCCCTCCCGGGGCAGCACGAGGTCGGGACACCTTCTCGCGACAACCTACACGGCCACCGACGGGGGGCGCTCTCACGGGGGCCAAGCCCTTCGCTCCCGGACTGGCCGGGTGGTTGCAGGGGTCAAGGATTTGAAGGTCACCTTGGAGGGGCCCCACGCTGGGGACCCGCGGTGGCTGCTCACAACCCCTCGGACAGGAGCCCACACCCAGCTCACCCAGGAGGACGCTCGCCCACCACGCAGACGCCGGTCACGCACCTGCACACTCGCTGCCCGCCAGGTCCACCAGCTGCAGCCGGGCGCGCACCTGCTCCGAGGGCCGGGCCCTCGGGGACCCGGGGGAGGCTCTGCGGGGAGCGGGCGGCCTCCTCCCTGTTGCTGGCGGCGACGGCGAGGGGCAGCCAGGCGCCTGGGGCAGTGACGGGCTGGACTGCGGCTCAGCTGCAAGGACAGTGGCACAGGTGTTCCGGAAGCTTCCCTCACCTTCCTTCTGCGCCCTGAGCTCCACCCCAAAGGGATGGAGACGGACGGGCACGTGACTTCCTCTCCCACGCGGACGAGTGACGCTGAGCGGCCGCACGGAGGGAGCGTCGCTGCCTCTGCGGAAAGTCGGTCCCCGAACACGGCCGGCTTCCGAGGAAGGGCCGGTGATGACACCGCGAAAGCCGCTCAGAAACCAGCCGCCTGGCCGCACGGGCGCGGACCCACGGTTCCTGCTGGGGAGCCACAGACCGACCTCGCCTCACGGGAGAGGGTGTCAGCCCCGTCCAGCGCTGCTTCTGAACAGACACCTGACGAGCGCAGTCACCGCGGAACAAGAGCCGCAGAAGCACAGCGTCGAACAGCGTGGAAACCGGGTGCCACCGCCTGTGCGGGCTCTGTGCGGACACTGGCTCGGGCTCGATGGTCCGGGCTCCCCACAGCGGGAGCCGCACCCCCTGCCGACCCTGGGGCGAGGCCGGCCTGCCGCTCGGGGCAGTTCTGGGCTGGCGGGTGCTGGCCATCCAGTGGCACCTGCACCCCTTCCCCGCGCCCGCCACCTGGGGGCCTCGGGCTGCGGCTGAGTGAGGAGTCCCATGGGGTGTCGGCCCGAGGCCAGGCTTTTACTTCTGTGGTTAATCCTCACCTGAGGACGTTTCCCATCGGTTTTTAGAGAAAGTGGGAAGGAGGGGGAGAGACCGAGAGAGACATCGATGTGAGAGAGACACATCGACCGGTTGCCTCCCGCACGCACCCGACCTGGGCCGGGATCCAGCCTGCAACAGAGATGCGTGCCCTTGACTGGAATTGAACCCAGGGCCCTTCCGTCCTTGGGCCGATGCTCTATCCACCGGGCCACACCAGCCTGGGCCAGATCGGGCTGCTGCCCAGGCCGGTGCTGCCAGCGGCTGACTGTGGGCACCGCGCGGACCCCAGACCCTCCGAGGACGCGGCCGCCGTCCCCACCCCGGGGGCCTGTGAGGCCTCAGACCTGCGGGCGCCTACGTGACCGAAGTCGCGTGCAAGCTGGCCGGGCGCAAAGGGCCACTTACGGGTGCCGTCCCCGGAGGTGGCCGCGGTCAGAGTCACCGTGACGACCAGGTGCGAGCGAGAAGAATCTGCGTGCACGGAGGTGGCGCGCCTGGCCCGGAGCTGCAGGCCGGCCCCCACGAGCTCCACCAACTCCCCTGCGCTCCCGACAGACCTGCAGGGGCGACAGGGCGACCCTCACACCAGACCAACGTTGGAAAGCAAATGCGTCACTTCTGTTGACGCTGCCCGCCTGCTCGCCCACACAAGCTGCCGACACAGTCCGGCCCCTCCTTCCGCAGCCAGCGCTCGTCTCTGCCACACACTCAGGGGTCACCGTTTCACAGTTTATTTTTTTAAATATATTTTTATTGGTTTCAGAGAGGAAGGGAGAGGGAGAAGGAGAGAGTAACATCAATGATGAGAGAGAATCATGGATTGGCTGCCTCCTGCACGCCCCACACTGGGGATGGAGCCTGCAACCTGGGCCTGTGCCCTGACCAGGAATCAAATCCTGACCTCCTGGTTCCTAGGTCGACGCTCAGCCACTGAGCCCCGCCGGCCGGGCTGTTCTGCGATATTGAAAGGTAGTTCTAAGGCACACTGACATGTGCAGCGTGCACTAAGCACGAAGTCACAGCGAACGTTCATGGACAAAGGGGCTGACTCGGTGACCCGGGTCGTGGGGAGGTCGCTCCCCCAGGAGCCCACACGCGGCGCCCGGAGGTACTCACAGGCAGGTCAGCGAGGACACCTCCGTCCTCCCCTCCCTGGTGGTCAGCACCTCACGCCTGAGCCTGGCCGTCGCTGCGCAGCCGTCTTTGGCCAGGAGGTCGAAAATGTCGTTGTTGTAAACCTCCACGATGGAGACCTGGACCCTGGGTCGCTCTGAGGGATCTTCTGACATAAGCCTGGGGGGCGGGGGCGGGAGACACGTGACACAGGAGAGAAGCCATCGGGGGACGTCGGACACCCCTCAAGGCGGCGGCCAGA